CTCTAATTACGTGCGTAGCGAACAATATACGCTCGCCATCGTAACCATCGCGCGTGGTACACTTGCAAGTGTGTCACTGCGAACCGTTAAAGGGAACGATGGGATAATTTTCGACGTTTATCGTAATAAATTGAATGGGCCAATTAAACTGTGACGGGCATCGAGGCGAGGTGGATCGAGGGATTTGCGAGGAAAGGAATACATAGGTGGACGATACGTTCCTACACGTTAAATCATCTGCTTCGACAGAGCGTTTCATATATCTGGGAATTGCGGCGAGCGAGCAACTTTCGCAATAGTGAGAGGCGTGTGCCGTTGCACGCAGCTTTTGATCTCTACGTAGAGAGGCAGCGGTGGTTCTCGTGTCACCGTTGCGTACCTGCTCTTTGGGCCTTCGTCACGCATTTGAAATCCCCGTCTACTACACGCGGTGTTACAAAAATTCTTGCGCAACACGCGGGTCACCTAGAAACTAGATTACCGAGAATTGTCTCCCGCCACGATATACTGCGAGAATTTCTCGTGAAAATTAAAGATATTGATGAGAAATTTGATTAAACATTTTCGATCGTAAAAACGGAAAGGAATAGAATTCTCCAATAGGATTTCTATCGTAATCTCACTTCCTCTTTCGTCTGGGACAAAAAACAAAGTCGTCGACTTTTTCAATCGAATCGACAACGCTACTTTTCAAACGACAATGATCTAATGCGCGATTACGTGCCAATTCTCATTCCTCTGCCTTTCCAAACTCGCTTTCACCCTCTCGCTTTCCGTTCCAATCACCGTTCCTTCCGGCTGCATCCGTGATCAGGATCGATTCAGACCCAAACCGATTAAATACCACTGCTTCGATCGTCGTAAAATCCGTGGACAAACAGTCGTTGCAGGTGTGCCTCCGCACGTGGATACACAGCGGGTGTTTCGCCTCGAAAAACAAGTCCGACAAAGTTCCAGGAACGTGTCCGGAACGGGGGGAGAAGAGACGGGAGAGGATCACGAGAGGAATCTCACTTTCTCTGGCGATTCGTTATCGGCCAACAGGCGGATTATCGTGAAAATAAAGGAACGCCTTTCTTTGAACGCGACGACGATCTTTCACTTCCTGTCTGCGAAAGAAAGAAAGCGACACGCCGTTGCAAACAAATCATTGCAGAACAAACAGAACGGCCGTGGCTGAAAATGAAACGAGCATGAGGTGATCTTGCGAGGCGATCCTCATCCGAGCTTCTTGTTCCTCGAGATTTTTAGACGCGTGACGTTTGTTTAAGACGCGGATTAAGGAGAAGGAGAATTAAAGGAAGGAATTTTTGTGAAGTAACTGCAAAGTACTTTTGTTGTACTCGATGTTGAAAAAGGAATGTTAAAATATTTATTTTTATGACACAGGTAATCACGTGATCATTTATTTTGAAATATTGGAATTAAGAATCTTTTTCTTCTTTTTTTTGATATAGTAATATTGTTTGCAGCGATATTGCATAATGATAGATTGATCGTAGAGAAATAAAAATTTTCAAGGGAAAAAAAAAAAGAAAATATAATTTGATTGTCACTAGAACAAATCCTAGAGATCCCTAGAAACTAAATTTTGCACTACCCGTGTGAAAATATAGCGAAAGATTGATCAAAATATAGAATATTATAACTCTTGGTTTGCCAATCGGCAACCGGGAAGCCCGAGAAACAACATTCATCATTATTCAATGATTGCCATGTGATTCTCGGTAACTGTCCTTTGTCCATCCTTGCCTTTCACTATTGTTCAATAACTTCTTCCAAGATCTCGCCTTTTATTTTGCTCACATACCTCGATACTGGTAACGTGTTTTTGTACAGAATCATCCCCGGAGCCGGAGGGAATCGTGGACTCGCGGCCACAATAAGCCGCTCTGTTGTTGATAAATACTTTCCATTTGTTAGAGCCGCGGGAAAGTCAAGCCGATGTACGATACGGCGCGATTCGACGCAATCGTTTCTATATGGGAGATGGATGAAAGCATTATGTGGAATTACTCGAAGGGGGGGGAAAGAAAAACTCGCGATTCCTGGAGACAGGGTTGACGAATCGGGAACGTACGTTATATCGCGTGTTGTTTATTGCGTTGATTAATCATATGGCACGGCTCAAATATTTTATCTTTAATTATTGAAGCTTCGTCGTCGAAATTTTAACAATTCGATATCTATTCGTTTCATTTGTGATCACCGTTTATAATATAATATAATTTGATGAAAAGAAAGGTCTAGCCTCGGTCAGGAAATCAGAGTTAATTCAATGTTTCAATTATTCTATGCTTTTTTTTTTTGTCAAAATTATCGACTAATTGCCGCTACATATAGCAAAATTCGTTTAATTGTTAAAAAATTAAATTGCTAAAGCCGTCCCATTGTTTGCTGGAAGCAAACAGATTCCAGGTCAAATTCAACCCGGTTATTCCCTAAAAATACAGCCGGCTTAATTCAAAAACAATGTTTTATGTCCGCTTGACGCGCGGATCACACACCCCGAATTTTCAAATTTCGCATTCGCGCATTTATCTTGTTTTAGAACCAGAATCGAAACGAACAATTGGATTTTCGCGCGTAATGCATCGGCCATCGGCGACAGCTTTTAATGGCGACGCGTGAAATATTGTTGCACATTATCCCGTTAAATATCCCCGGACTTGTTTTCAATGTATCTTAAAACCGATCCCACGTGAAGATAAGCTCACGAAGATAATCGTAATTGTCGATAAGTTACGTGGATGATGATTCAACTCACGATGAATCATCGGACAGACGAAAAATTTTACGAATTACGAAATCAATTTGAAGAAGAAAAAATATCTTATCTTAAAATTTTTTAATTTAAATTTGAATTTTTTTTATATTTGAAATCTAAATTTCTCATTTTAACGTTTGAACGTGTGAAGATTTTCGATATTTTATCTTCTAATTTATATAAAGGATAATAAACATTGTGTAAGAATCCGAAAATATCGCGTTGTAAATACGATGTTTGAGATTCGAACGCGTCGTAGGAGGGCGTTCACGGTCCGCACCCTTTTCGCTGGAATTCCATTTGGAATTTGTCCCCTGGAGAAAGTGAAATGCGAGTTTCTGTAACGAGACAAAATAAAACAACGTGAAAATGTACCGCAATGGGACGTGGACAATTTACAATGACGAACGGCTCGCCCTCAAAAACTGAAGATAAGCATCGAACAGATCGAAAATTATTTTAACATAGGATACGTATAAAATATCATTCGTAATTATTCTCGTTGGATTTAATCCTAATAATAATTAGACGGATATTTTAAAAAGAATATCGAATAAATTGTATAATAAGATAATGTTCATCTAAATTTTAAATGAAAAATGTATTAATATTGATTTTGCTTTTTAAACTAAAAAATTATATTGATTTATATATTGCAAATTGATTATCGTAATTTTTTTAATTAAAAATAACGTTCAAGATGATTTCGATGATTCAGAGAGCATCGAAATATGACAAGAGAAGAAAGATGAAGATTTCCGTGCCGATTTTCGCGACGATTATAACCCGTGACTGGAGTAATGCTAGGTCGAGATAAATCGATCCTCGCACCCTGAAATATTCACGCTCGTATCAAAGTACGTAGACTGGTGTGGTCTGCGGTAATCTTGCCGATGTAGTACGCGCATAGAGACGCCTTGCTGCAAAGCCCTCTCCTCGCTCCACGCTAGCTTTTACGGCGGACGCCGAACTGGGACGGAACTTAATTGAACCCGGCTGAACATTATCGAATGTACAAGCTTCCGACCGATACGTGCCTTCTTTCGCGACAGGATAATACACGCAGTTTGATTATCCTATCGCGATGAAATGAAATAGTTGAGAATTAGTACGGTGCACTTCAGAATTATTGCCCGTGTTTAGATTCTCTAATAATGTGAATATTATGAATTTTTAAGTAAAAACATTAAAAGTAAAAACAGATTTATGTCGAACGTTCATGGAAGTCTAAGAAATAGAGAAATACAAAAAAGAAAAATAAGTAAAGATTGTATACTTTTTATTGAAATTTTGTTGCATCAAAACTACATTCGCATTTGAACGAATTATTTATGTAGATTTAATTAAAAAAAAAATATCAGTTTCTTCCCCCTATTTCATTTATATTCAATTCTCCAAAGCTCAAAAAGTTTGAAAAATAATATGAATCGAAAAAATAATTTCGTGATATTTATCGTGATATTATTGTACCTGTTTCAGAATCATAGAATCATGCCAACTTTATCTTGTAGACCGATTTTACGACCGCACTGTATCTCGTCCATAGACTATACCGTGGAACATAGAAAGTTAACCGTGAGCGCGGGAAATTTCAATGGGCCGGATAGCGACACAAAGGCACAACGCGACTTTTGCACAATGTATAAGTATGCTAGGCGTGTAATCGCGCGTCCCTAGGGCGAAAGAGAATCGCGAGCGATACGGGACGGTCGTTTGTTCAATAAACATGCACTGGCCGGCTCTCGTCACGGCGCTCAGGGCTATTATACTTGCCGATCGAGGTGTTAGAATAACGTTGAAACGATGGTAAACGATGTCGATGAGTTCAGTCCGGTGTCACGCTTACGCAATGTTAACCAGCCACAAGAAAAGCAGAATACAAGCTTTCTAACCCGTGAGGTCGATTCGTTTGTCTCGCAATCGGTCTATCGTGTTACGACTAAAAACTTTAACATCAACGAAACGCATTGATGACTTATTTCGTGATTTAACGATTCCTCGTTTCGTATTAAACTAGTCTTAGAGAATATTTGCGATTTTTTTCCTATTTATAGGAAATTTGAAGATATAAAGATTAGAAGATTAAAAATATACAGAAATTGTGATAGAACAATTATAATCTAATCATCTTTGAGAAAATATTTTTAAATAATTACCAACATACTTTTTTAATTTCTAATTCTTTACAAAAATATATTATAATACACAAAGATAAATAAATTTTATAACTTACTGAGGTTAATAACTTTCTTTTCGTTGCATAACCTCAAAAAGGCTGATAGATCACGTTTCTTCCTAACATGAAACATCTTGTATACAATTGAAATTTGTGCACTAAAATACTAAAACTCTTTCATTTACACAATTATTCCATCACGAATACACATAAAAGTCAACATTCTATTTATATATATCGACATCTTTACTGTAAACACGTAATCCATTCCATTCTTATTGTTATATCTTAACGCGGACGATTCGATGAACAAAACCTTGGTAAAGCAGGCGTTAAACACAGTGATGGTAACACAACCTATTTTCACGATCGTGTTCCCGAAGAGACTGAGAAACCTATTGTGAAACCGCCACGGTAAAGTCCGCTAATTTAGCGTCGGTTAATCGCGACTAATCGTTACTCTCCTGATGCAACAACGAGACAACGAACAACGATCCAGGCGGCGAGATCGCGAAACACTCTCGCCATTTATGCGCGTTACATCGATGTGACGATGCATAATTCATGTATTATTATTACTGTTATTAAGATTATTGGCGGCTTCCTTGGCCGCGGTTCAACTTGGATTCTCGTTGAAAAATCGAATTGATCGTAAGACATCGTGATTAGGGTTTTAGACGGTCAGGGATGGGTAATTACTAGATTATTAAATCGCCACCTACGCACACCAGAAATCCCCAGAGTAATGACTCCTTATACGCGTCCTACACGCGTGTGCGTTATACTAGGCTTATGGTCGAGATGAATTTTTCGTTCGATATGTACTCGCTGCCGTTTTGTGTTGCTCGCCAGAGATGCGATGGAAAATTTGAAACAGCAAGAGATTGAACAGATATACTTCATTTTCCTGCAAAAAATTGTCAATTTTAACGATAAAGTTAGTAAAAAAATATTGAATTACATAATGAAATGATAAAAAAAAGAAAAATACAAATGATTTATACAAGATATGATTGTTGTTAAAAACTTTTGAAAGATTTTGTTAAAACTTTTGAAAGATAAAATTTAAATAAAATTTGAATGGAATAATTTGTCTCGTTTCTTCGTATTCCGTATTGTTCATGTATGAGTCTGCAACATATCAGGTAAAAGTCAAAGTCGCCTCTTACATTGGATTACGAAATAAGAGGTCACCTATGACGTCATTCACTATTGGTAAGTGGCCTTGGTCGGAGAATTGATGTTAAACGTAAAGTAGCCGAAATATTTGAATGTAGGCTTAACAAAGCCTATACGTTATCATTTTTGCGTGATGAATAAGGATGTTAATACTTTTTTGGAACAGGAAAGTATTATTGTTTTCTTAAAATGAATCATCTGTTCCGTTTTTGTCAATCCCGTTATTCACGTCAATCATTCTGCAATATACTTTGAGAGGAAAAGAAAAAATTTTAATAAAATTTCCAAATTGAATACTTAATGATACACGCTCCTTATTACACAATCTATTTTGATATGATACATTTCGGTGTTAGAATAAAGAATTTTTCAAAAAATGGCTTCAAAAATGATCCATATTTTTAAACACGTGAATAAACTTGCTAATATTTCAATATCAAAAATAACAACAATTCACGCGAACTCGGATGACAAATCAAAATCGTTCGAACGAACAACGCGTGTTCCAATGAATTTGTATTCTATCTGAATAATACATGCGTATAGCATGATGACAACAGCGAAAAAATAGTCATCTGTTTGATTATTCTGGGATATTCGCGAAAACACGAACCGGTCGATACCAAACGTTAAGTGTAATATCCTATGCATGTAGAATTTCGTATGACGCGCGAAAATTGCTATTCAGAGGGCGACAAATTTTGTTTTTTCTATTTTTTTTTTTTTTTTTTTTATTTTATTACGGTATCCTCGGCCCCAACGAAACGACCGCGTTAATTTTTCGCTTGCCTTTTGCGGTTGATGGATACGCCGGCCATATGGTCAGGACATGCTGGATTTTCATGAAAGTTCAAACGCTCGTTTTTCTCTTTTGGGATCCTTCAGAGCCTCTTCCTGCCAGCGTTTTCTGTTTTTTTTTTTTTCATTTTTCATTTCCTCTTTTTTTCGACGTACAATGCGCCGTTGGAACATTGTAACAGCGAGAACGGCGCAACGTGTATATTTTTATGTAATTTATGTAGTAACTTGAATCCGTAGCGAGACTCCGTGTGGAAAACTTGCTACCTTCAACGGTGAAAATATAATATTCTTACGCATTCAATGAGTAAGATACGCACTTGTTATTTACAAAAAGTGTTTTAAATGTTCGAAAAAGTTTCTTTCCTTTTTATTTTTTTGATAAAAATTTCTTAATTGTTATTTCTTAATTGTCAATAAATCTATCGGTGATGGAAAAAGATTGGTGAATATGTGAATTAAGAAACGGTCGAGTTGGCTTTCGAAAAATTTTTATTGTTTATTTATACGCGTTTCGTTGTGCGTTTGTTTTGTAAAACCATGGTTTACACATATTGGATTTATTCCACGGTTGGAACGAGAGCACGAAAATGTAAAATTTTTTCGGTGCACGTAAAACGATACCATTTAAAGTGTGCCACATTGTTACTAATAACAGCGCTATTATCTACATATTAAAAAGAATTTTGTTCTATAGGAAAGAACAATGAAACTTTCTTTTCTATCTACTGTACCTTTCATATCTTCCTCATTCAACCAAACTGGAAAAGTAATTTTAGTAAAAATTACAATAAAATGGGATTTCATAGGACTTGTACAATAATGGTATTCATGTAAGTACAACAAATGCAAATTTTGACAGTTCTTTTATTACGTGAGAACTACATTTTTTGATATTTTATTATTTATAAAAAATCATGGCCACGATGCGTAATATTGCAATTTTTCATATTATGTATAGATCCAAAAATTTCTTTATTCTATGTTTCTTTAATTTTGTCAATAGACAAATAAAAAGATTTTTATATTAGGTTGTAAATATAAATATACTTTTATTCCGTTATGGCATTAAATAAACATATTATATATTGAAAAAATTTAGTATCAAGAATTAATTCTCAAAAAAATATTCTACATATATTTTACACCTTGTATATAGAGCCAACAATATATAATAACTGTAGCAATAAAATATTTGACCAAGGTACGGTTTAATATAGTCATCTATTGTATTTCAAAACATTCCTTTTACCTTCTTCTCAAAAAGGGAAGAATAAAAAAAAAGATAAGGAAAATAAAAATAAAAAAAAAAAACAGAATTTTCGAAATCTTCCACGTGAATCTCCATATTCATCCAGAAGCAACAAAAGAACAAATTCAAATTCTTCGATATTTCGAGCCGCTCGTCGCTGATCTGTCGCGTCGATAAAAAGAGATCGAAAACGACACCGATGCGGTTGTAATGTTGTCGGTTTATTGGTTGCTCGTGAACGTTGTAAGGTTTGCGTGCTTGTATCAACGCCCACGGCGGCCTAGGTGACGACAACGTTTCCGATATATCGAAGTTGAAACGTATCTTCATATTAACCGCCCACGCGAGAAATCGTTTCCATTGTTCAGCAGAGTATCGCATTAATTCGCGAACTTGTATAGAATAATTGATCTACCCACGATGAATCGCATGGTTCCTCTCCTTAATTACACGGATGGCCACTCTGATCAGCTCATCATCTACGTTCGTCGTACCCGGGCTTTATATTCTTTACCTTTATCGATAAAACTGTTCGATCAAAAATGACGTTACGAATTTGAATTATAATTTACTTTGTAATCCGCTTTTTTTCCATTCCTATTCTCTTCTCAAGGAAGACAAAATCGTTTGTTTCTTTTGATATCTTTTTCTCGATTCTCACAATTTCAAGATTCAAAATAAATCTCAAATCAAATTATTCAAATAACGAGCCTATCTGTTATTCGCAGTTTTGCACGAACTTCCGATCCCTCTGGTGGCATTAGCCCGATTATACGTGAACGCAATACGCATGCGCAAATATGTGTGTAGAAGAACGTAGAAGTTTCGCGAAACCGGTGCCACTTCAGCCCGGAAAACGATTATTAGTACGGGACACGCCGCCACTTTGTATGCGTGGTTCGTTTCGAGAGGGAAAGTTACGTTATTTTCGGATGTCGTCTCTCGTACTCACCTGGCACACGTTTTGCGCGAAAGTCTTCGTAACGCTTTGATGCTTTGTCGAGGAGTTTAATCGCTGTAACTCGAGATACGTAGCGTTTGGAAACGCCAATGGATGGCTATGCTCAAACGAATGTGCTTGTGCAATGTTCAGCTACTTTGAATTATAGGAGAAATTTGCTTAGAACTTTGAGAGAGACTTATTTTCGAATAAAGTTTACTTTCAGATTATTTGGTAATAATTCAGTTAGATAGCGGATAAATTTTTAGGTTAGCTTGTGCGGAAATTTGTATCGATGTAAACACGAAGGTTTCTCTTATTCTTCAATTCAAAAATTCTTTTAATAAGAACTAAAATCGCATACACAAATCTTGTAGCGAGAACGCTAATTTTAAAATTAAATCGAGAAATCCAACTAAGGCGAAAGTAACCACAAAATCGCAAGAGTTAATCGCTACGTTCCAAGAAAATCGGTTCCTTGGGTGTCGTACGACAGAACCGACAGTAGCCTTCTCTCTCCGAGGATGGTCATGCACGGTGAGTTTACGATCAAGAAAGGAACGAGGGAAAGAGAAGAGGAGGATGTTTTATGTATTCGTTGCACGAGCGCCGTTTATTGTTACACCACACCTAACGGCCAGGCCCGAAATTGATGACAATTGCGCGCTGGAAAGGAACACGCCGCGGATGAATCATCTCCTGCGTTCTTTTCCTCCCTGTGCCCCGACCTCTTTGTCTTTTCTGGGACCAATGACTCGACCATGTACCAGAATTAACCGTGATTTCTCCGGAAGACAGGATCGAAAACGTCGGCTCTATTTAGCCCTGTCATCGTATGTCAATTATACGAATCTCTGTTGGATCAGTTTAGTATGGTATGTTAGCTTTGATTATTTTTCTTTGTCGTTAATCTTCTCATGAACATATCATTTTTAATTGCAAATAATTTAACCGCAAAAAAATTCAAAAGCATCAACTTTACAACAAACATATATTAATCTGAGGATCGACACGTACGGTATTAAAATCGAAGTCAGCTATATCCACGAAACTCTTTTAAACCGAGTACGTATTAGAATTTTCTCCATTCCTACATGATGCATGATATTTATCAGACGCAAGAAAATCGAGATTTTTGCTTTGCACGAAGATAGGTCAATGATGTGTCGTATCGTGTTTACGTCTCGGAAGAAAGAACAGGAACGTCCACGAAAGAAGGTGAAATGGAAGAAAAGAAAAGAGGACTCGACGATAGCTGGCGCGATGATACGATCTCTCATCAGCAATATGAAGCTAACAAAGCTCGACTGTACTTTTGGTAACCGACAACATGAGGCGTTGTCCCTTTGCTCCTTTCACCGTGCAATTTCTGCCTTTACTTCGGTCAAAGAGAACGATTCTCCCGGACAGTTTGGTTTGTCTCGATATCGAGTTAGATCGAATTGGGATCGTTCGAGTGTTTAGACACTAATCAACGTCTCGATTTCCTAGCTTTGATTCCCTTTGCTTGACCCTGAATATCTCAAATGGGATGATGTAATCAGATGTATCGTAGTCTTTTTTTTCGTGTAATCTTTTTTTTTTTTTAGAATTAAATTGCTTAAACATTGAAAAGTACTTAATAACACATCTGATAAACTTTTACAAAGATTCACAAAGTACGTAATTTAATATCGCGTATACGGTTCTCTTTCAAAATCTCTGATCTTTCTTTCAGATTATCTTGTCAAAGCATTAACAAACGAAAAGTAACCATCCAAATCACGCGTCGACGGAAAAACTAGATGTCATTTTGCAAAGAAATCTCTCATTTTCATTTTTTTTTTTTTCAGCTTTCTTTATGCGAGACAAAAGCACGTTTGCCGCGGGAATTCGACAGCGGTTCCGATTAAAAAATTACGTTCGACGCCGATAAATATTTTATCCCAGATTAAATGGAAAATCATGTTGGCCGGTGCCCATTGTCCAATCTACGATCCTTGTTCACTTTCGCGTTGTCGTCACCACCGTGCTCGTCGTCGTCGTCGTCGTCGTCGTCGTCGCCGTCGTCGTGGTTCTCGTCGTCATGATTCCTCTTTGCCCGTTTCCTCTTTGTCCTCGATCGACGATTCCCGAGGTCCTTTAATAACGACCATCGGTGATTTATCGACAACGCCAGGAAGAGTGGTCCGCCGCAGCGCCAGATTCCCAGATAGATGGACACGGTTGGGAACAGGTATAAGTACATCGACCTCCGATCGATTTTATCCCGTGCCTACGGCTTTTCCTCCGTGGCTGCCTTCCGCTTAACATTTTCATTTCGTGATTCGATTAACTCGATTTGCATCACCGGTAAAAATTAAAGATGCATCCTTATAATGAAAACTTACGTGAAATTCGTTGGTCCGGTTTAATCTGATAAATTGCGAGGTAATCTCGTTAATAATATTTAATCCCTGTTTAAGATGTACAAATGTAAAATGTTAAATGAATGTTATTATATATTAAACATGTAATGATTGTATATTATATTAATTATATTAACGAATATGGTTGAACCTTGTATTATATCTTGTTTCAGTTGGCTATAAAACGACGAAATAATGATGGTGCATCAACTTTCTCCTCAACTTTCAAATCATTCATAATTGAACCAGAACAGACTCTAATTGAAAGTATCATATCGAGTGAACAAAAAGGAATATCCACTTCCGTATCCTGAACTTCCGATGGAATCCTCGTTAGACACGTGGTGAAATGAAGAAAAGGAAATTCCTTTCCCCCGGAAACCGGTCAAGGGAATCTCAACAGAGACGATATCATACGATCTTTACATGGAATTTTCGTTTTCCTCAGATGTTAATCAGCTATTCTATTGACTATAACGATCGCGATAAAACGATGATAACTAGAGAAAATTCGAATTCGTTTAGCTTATCTATTCAGCTTTATTAATCCATCCAAGTTTTATTGCACATTCGATAATATTGAATCGCGTTATAATCGACTCGTCGTCTCGATTGTGATTTTTTTTTCTTTTTTTTCTTCATTTTTTTTCTCTGGTGAATTCAAAGTCATCGGAAAAATTGATTTTTCTTGCACGACACGGTTTTTTGGATCGTACTTGTACGATTTTTCGCTTGTCATGTTTGGTTGCTTTGTTGACCAACTTTCAAAAAGTTGTAGAATTTGATGTGAAATGCGTAGGAAACGTTTTATGAATATTTATTGTTGTAATTTTACTACATTTTTTAAGAAAAAAATTAAGTTTTTATCTTTTAATTATATTAAATTTGTTTATTAAATTTTGATGAATGCATCATGAAAATAATAAAAAAATAATAATATACTGAAGATATAGAAAATCTTATTAAAGAAATTTTTTGGAAATTAATATTTTTTATTTTAAATTAATCTATTCTATCAAATTTAAAATGTTTCTTTTCTTTTTATTTCTTTATTTTTAAAATATAATTTATATATTTTCGAAAATATTTTAATATGGAATATTTTTAAAGAATATGCACTATTTTTGCATGTAGTATTTGTAGACGAGAGAAAGTTTAAGCGGGCTATTCTTTCATACATGAAAACCGGAAATTAGTAAACTGTTGCTTCATGTGGCAATGATTACAATTACTCCCGTACGTTTGTCAGACTCAACAAAACAATGAAAATTTTGCATGGTGAAAGCGACTAGTACTCATTGACTAGAAGTACCGGATGTATTTACATTCGCATAGATTCTATGAGAGCTATCGTTCCGCGATTTCGATTACGAAGTAAACTTTTTGTTCGATGAATCTACTTTATTAAAATTCCATTTCATTCCACACGCCTTTATATTTTAAGAATTATATTATAATTCGATACATAAAATAGATGCAAATATAAATGTAAGTATAGTCAAATTTGACTAATTTTATTCAAATGAATTTAATATTTTGAAATAATTTTCTAAATTTTTAAAATTAACTCAAATTTATTCTTTCTATATAATATCTTATTCTTATATAATATTTATACAATTAACTTTGATTGAAAGAACGTGAGACGAAACGTTTCTTAGAATTGTTAATTTGACATAACCTATTCAATTAGCAAGACTCTAGCTGTACTCTTATTCTTATATAACTTCTTATTTCATTAACCTGTACAACCAAGATAAAAGAAGAACGAAAATTCCATATTAACGTGCTATAACAATTCAGTAGCTTGTTAAAATCTTAACATCAATTTCATCGAGACGCGAATCGTCTCGCGAAAAGAAACATAACCAGTACTTATTCAGTTCATAAATTGCAAGATCTGCGCATGCACCTGCGCGAAGAAACTTCGCACAAGGTTGTACGCGTCGCGTATTTCCAAAGAGGAAAGTCACGACTTGGTCGTGGGTGGCATGGACCATTTGAGCGTACAATGCGAATGCAGTCACGCTGATACGCGTCGCATAAAACGCTCTAGGTATTCTCTATATACGCACACATTCACCCTTGTATATAAACTTATAGAGGAAACAGGTTAGAGAGTCACGAGATGGCGCGCATTTACATAGTATACGAAGGTATACGTTTTCACGCCGATTCCACCGGTAGTCGTTGATGGTGGCAAAGTAATAAGAAGCGGCTTAGTCGACAGATTGCCTTTTCGTCCCGTGCCGCGTAATAGTGGCTTCTTTTCCTAACCTGACACGGCTTCCTTCGATCTTTTCTAAGGAGAAAGGAGAATCTCTTTGCTATTGGTCCTTTTCTTCAGAATCGCTTCACAACGATGTCGAATAATACTTTCACTCTCTCTTTCCAGTGCTTTCCTTTGTGCAATTGCCACGAGGATATTTTAACAACATTGTTGATCGCAGGAAGATCGTGATTTATTTGTTTTGTAGATTGTGAATTATTTCTAAGTAAAATGTATGAATCGTATATGTGTTCAGTGATAGTGTGTTGTATGTAACTATATGAGTGATTAAATAGATGATTTGAGGTTAGGATCAGGAGACTACATAAATCGTAAGTAAATAGATGTAAATAGATGATTAAAATTGGATTGCCTCTTAAAAAAAGAGAATATTTTAAATTATTTTAATATGAAAGTTTAATCTTGGAAAAAGGAAATATACGATAAAAGGTATATAGTTCCAAAATATATTCTATACTATATTATTTAATGTTCTCTTAATTGTATATATGAAACGATTTCATGTATGAAATTATTGTTTGTAATAAATAGTACATCAGTTTACATGTAACTTTCAATAGCGGAAAGTATTAATATTGGGTTAGAAAATAGCTATTACTGTACATTAATTTTTTTATTTCGTGATTTGATTTTCATTTATAACAATTTAATTGTCAAATTGCGAAAGAATAAACATTTACTATATACTGTTCTGGATTTTTATAACAGTATATAACGAAAATTTTAACTTGTTCCACTTTTTTTTAAGCATTCCACTTTTTTCTGTCGTTATATGTCTGTCTACAATTTTCTTTAATTGCACCAGTACGTATAATTTGTACCTACTTATAAGATTAAGTTACAAAACACGACTGTACGATTATTCCGTAGGGAAGGAATAATGATACTTAAGTAACAGTTGCGTTGTTTATTAATAAACGAGCCACGTGATTATGCGCAATTGTACATGATGATATCGAACATCTTACAAAATTTGTATCTCTTCATTTATTTACTTTTTTTTTGTTTTAACTAATTTTCGCAGAAATATCATTAATGTTAGATTTCATAATCATGTTGATAAAAAATTTTATAATTTTTATTTAAATTTATAAATGATGCAACTCGTTCTAGATTTCATGCTACTTTACAATTATTTTTATGCTTTTTTTTTATCTTAAGATCAATTAGGCTAATTTGGACGAACTTCAAAGAACCAAGGAAAACAATAAGTCGTCTTTGTTTTTTCGCGTTGAATTAACCAGCCGCGACGTTTGATGGTCGAATGACCCAGTTTCGCGGTTCAGCGACCAACGTTTTTGGAGAAATGCTGAAGATTACACGTTTCTAATTTTCATATCTCTCTAATACTTTAATATAATTAGATTTTATTAATTTCATTTTTTAATTTTAATAAAAAATTGATGATTTCCTTTCATTAATGATCAATGAATAATCATATATCAACAATCGGTGAGTTGAGCTTGATCCATGTGAAATGATATCGTACTCGTGGCATCGGCGAAGGAACATGAGGCAAGTAACGAAGAGAATTGGGCGCGGATGCGAAGGATCGAAAGATTGCATCGCTGATACCGCGTGTTCGACACGCTGCGGAACACGTGTACCGATACAAGTCGAAGATCATCCGCACAGGACATCTTTTTGGGCATGCGCCGCGTGGACGTTGCAAAATCATCCGGGTTTCGAACTTTCGATTATATTAAAATTTTAATTTTAATAATAATTAAACGAAACGAATGAATTAAACGAGTTGTAGATTCTAAAAGAAATAATAATCCGTTAATTTTTGCTAATATATCTAAGAGTAATTAGAAAAATTAATAATATCTCTACTAACTTAAAATAACTTTAGTTTTACGAGCAAAAGAGATTAATAATAATTCTTATATATATATATATATATTTTTAAATACATAGTTAAATTTTTTTTAAAATCTCAATTAAATATCGATTAAAGTAATCCCATTATTTTCTTCGAATCAAAAAACGAACGATTAGATATCCGGCGAAACAATAGCCCGGACAATGAAAGATCAAGACGAACCGTTCCATTTTTATTTCTCGGAATGTAGGTCTCCCTTTGTCGCGACGAGTGGTGTAGGATGTAGGAGTGGAGATATCGCAACCCTCGACTCGCGGTGACGTAGGAAAAGTTCGTTTTAAACGTTAAAATATTGTGCCTTGTGATCCGTCTGGATATATTCGGAAATTTGCACGTGCGGAAATTGCGAGGTCTGGCAGCGAAGGTTATTCGAAGTGGCGGGCACAATAAAGTCGCGGCAGCGACGATGCCATCGAATGGAATCGAAAGTGGGACGGCTTAATCCCAGCCGAAATCTATTCGCGGCAAGATTCATTCTTCGACCCTCTTAGCACAACAATGGCTGCTCCTGCTTCCGTTTCTCAACATATCATCCCGTTCCACGATCCTCTCGATAAACGCCTCTTCCTTCTTCATCTCTGATCCTGCTCCTATGCCTTCCTACGGTTTAATTAACGACTTGGTAACCCGTACACGATCCTCGATACGTCTCTCCTTTTTCCTAGCATATAATTGAAAATTTTTACATACTTTGTGAAAATTATCGCTTTTTATCAAAACTACAAACAGTATATTAAAATCAGGTATTTTCTCGCGTGTCTCAATCTTTTTAACCATATCCATCCATTAACTGGAAAAGAATATTCCAAAATATTGCAATAATCTTCATAAAACAACCTCTCTCCCCCTTTATTATCCTGTACCAAACGAATACCTAACTTCAATCTTCCCAAACACACCGGCATCGTCCCATAAACGATTACCTTCCCAGGTATCCACCTCCCATCCACCTGACCTCCTCACGCACATCCCCCGAAAACCAGTTTCGCTCTCCGAGGTATCTAATTTCCCGATGTTGCAAGTTTCGTTCATTCCCCCCCTCCACAAAAACCATCTGGCGCGATCTTCCTCGTCGTTTATCCATCCTTACCCTCCTGTGGCGCTGAAAAACGCGTAACTCAGAGTCGCGAATCGATTTCGCGGGGTCAAGTGGCCCTCTTCTTGGTCGCGATGGACTAACGGTATTCCCAATTAGGAGAACAGGGACGGACAGAATCGAAGTCGTCGATTTCGCGGGCGGTCTGCGAGCTCTGCGGCGTGATGAAAAAAGGAACGGAAAAAAAAAGAGGGGAGAAGTTGGCGAGAGAGAGAAAGAGTGAGAAGGGACGGG